AATCATTTATAAAAGCACTACCATATATAATAATGGTTTCATAACATTTTTACTAATTAAAAACAATTATGACGTTGAGCATGGTGGCTCAAGTCAGTAATTCCAGTGCTTTGGGAGGCTAAGAGGGGAGGATCACTGTGGCCAAGAGTCTAAGATCAGCTTGGGTAACATAGCAAAAACCTTATCTCCACAAAAATTGTTTTTTAAAAAGGAAGAAGCAGCAAAACTTAGCCAGGGGTGTAGGGCAAACACCAGTAGTCCCAGCTACTTGAGTGGCTGAGGAAGAAGGATCACTTGAGTTCAGGAGTTTGAGGCTATAGTAAGCTATGATTTTATACCAACACACTCCATCCTGGGCAATAGATAAGACCCTGCCTCCAAACAAAACAAACGACACAACAAAAACCCCCAAATTATTAAAACTACCACAACTATAAAAAGCAATCGTAATTTCCTATAACTGAATACCAAGACAGGTATTACTGTCTACTAGTACTCCCTTACTATTGAATTTAGAAAACTAAAATTAAAAATTAAATATAGCACCTAGGTCTTTTACTCCTCAATCCCCCTTCCAAGCACTATGGCTATATGCCTGCAGGTTTCTTAAAAGTAAAATAATCATAAGGTGAGGAGGAAAGAACACAACTGAAGATACATCACTCTACCATTTATTTTATATATGGATTTTGAAAATGCAAAGGAAAAGTTACCTTAGACAAAAATACCTGATCACACAGGAAATCTGCCACTGACGATGAATGTTCAAACTTGTTACATACCTCAGCAGTGAGTCTGACCCTAACCAAAATTATCAATTAGAATTGTCTCTAACCTCAGCTTCAAGTCCTTACCTCCTCTCCCATGTATCTCAAAACATCACCTAAGGATCTATAATTTTCACATAAAGATATAAATCTCCCTTAACTGCCCAAAATAGTGGCCCTGATGATATTTACATTTTGACAGTTTTCAATGCATTAGTCTAAAAAGGAATAAAGCTTTAACCAGAATTTCAGAGATCAGCTTCTGGATGAAAAATACTATCCCTTAAAATGGTATTTCATAGGCAAGCCCACATTCAGGAAATGGTCTTAAGTAGTAATAGCTTGTCCAGAGCAAGTTAAAAATTTTTCCATTTGAAAACCAAATCAACAATGTCTTTGGTTTATAAAAGCTACAGAAGATTTCTTTATCATTGGCCAGAGAAGCAAATCAATGATGCCAATCATTGGTTAAATGATTTTTAATCAATATTGCAAATGGAGCAGAAAATGGGCTGAGGGACTAGAAAGAGACAGTGTAATGACCTAAAATGAGAAGAAGGCTATTAGGAAAATGCAACCTTTAAGAGGTGATCACCTAACTCCTTACTATACAACCCTTAAGGATTAGTTAGGTGACTCATTATCTGCCTGACAATTTAAAAGTCTCTTTTACCACCATAATTATTTAAATGTACCTAAACGAAGAGCCTACACATAGAGAAAGCTTTGACAAGGGCAAAGTTGAGGGCACCACCCTCCTCCAAAAAGAAAAGCCATTTTACAATGTAAAAGAAAAACCAGCAAGGACAGAATAATAACTGATGAAAAAACTACTTGTGGTTCTACATACACCAGGTATATTCCCAAATAGATTTAACTTATAGGTAACTTGATTACAAGATTTTTAAAAACCTCAATTTTACTGTCTAAAGATTTAAAAAAATCAAAAATATGAAGTAAAAGGAGAAAAAACTCCCTTGTATCAGTTCCACCCACGGAGTGGAAACAATGCAGCAGAACTGAATCTCTCTTCAAAAGAAAAATTTATTTGTTAAGAAAACCTAGTGACTTTGCCCCAGGTCCTCTCAACTCCTTATCTTCCTCTAAACCAGCAGTTCTCAACCTGTGGGTCACGACCCTTTTGGGGGGGTCAAACAACCCTTTCCCCTTTCACAGGGGTTGCCTAAGACCATTGGAAAACATGTATTTCCAGTGGTCTTAGGAACCGAGACATCACTCCTCATGTGTGGGGGCCACCATAACATGAGGAACTGTATTAAAAGGTCGCGGCATTAGGAAGGCTGAGAACCACTGCTCTAAACTATACTCTGTATGAGAACGCCAGCTTTGGCTTCCACCCTTTTCAGATGTTCACTAAACACACAGGACAGCTAAACCATAACTGGCTTATTGTTAGAGCAAAACTCAAAAAGGCCAAAGATGTTTTTCTGCCTCTCGTCCCATTCTGCATAGTCAGTAAGCGATCTCATATATGTACTCTGGAGTCACAGAGATTTTAGCTAGACGCTTGCCTCTATCATTGGCTAGATTAAATAAATCAAGGAGAGTTCTGTGTGCTTATTACTTTCTTGTCTATAAAATGGAGATAATAACTCCTGTCTTTCAAGATTAATATGAGGACTAAATGAAATACTTAGCAAAACATTTAGCACAGTTATCTGGTACATAGTAAATTCTTAACAAACATCTTCCCCATTATACCCTGCTTAAAGCCAAGATTTCTCCATAGTCTCTAGTGCAACTGTTTTCTGATCTGTGGCATTACAACATTGTGACTAGCACTTAAAAAAAAAAGAAAGAAAGAAAGAAAAAGAATCACTACAATAACCTGTGGGTCACAACCTCCTCCCTTTATTTTTGTGACCCCTTTTTAACAATGAAAATACATCGCAGCATTAGGAAGGTTGAAAATCACTGCACTAGAATAAAAATTGCAATAAGCATTGTTTAGCAAATCTTTTCTTTAGATGCATGCCCACCTATCTACCCACATACATGAGGTCTACTAATTAAGTTCACAAACCCATCCTAGAAAAAGTGCTCCATATCTCACTGGGGAACATGACAAAGGTCACCTTTGAAGTGCTCTCCTTGAGAAGCTATGCAATGACGCCAACACCTAGTCTACCCTTCAAAGCAATTTTGGAACTCTTTCTGGGACGCACATCACAGCTGTCATTGTACAAGCACTGACAATTAAGTTCACAAACTTAATTGTGAAAAAGTGCTCTGAAAAGTAAACTAGGCACTGGCATTGGTGCAGAGCCCCCCACATGAAGTACTTCAAAGGTGCCTATAGTGATATTTAGCAATGAGGTATGAAGCATTTTTTTTAGGATGAGTTTGTGAACTTAATTTTTCCAAGCTCATATATTCTTAACTTAGCCTTATGTGGCTTTTCTGTGATACCATCCTTAAGTAACTTCCAACAGACAGCACATGCTTCTCTTCCTTGGGGCATATCAGTATTTCATGCATTTTGTATAAAACTATACTTAATTACACTGTGCTGGTTTACATGTCTGTCTTTCCCAATAAGAATGTAAACTCCAACAAAACTGTCTTATATTATCTCCATTTCTGATACCTGAAAAATACTGGAGCCTCAGTAAAATTTTGTAAAATCAATGACTAAAACATCAAAATCTAACAAATATTAAAAACATACAAAATATCTAACCACATTAATTATCATCCTATCAGGTTTTATTCTTTTACTTATAGCTGAAAGTTCAGCTATAAGTTACACAAAATCCATAAAATTACTCTTACTTGCCTAGTATACTTAAAAAGATATATAAAAGAGATGAATGAATGCTTACTTAAGAAAGTGAAATGAATGATGTGCAAAATAATTAAGAAGTAGAACATCAACGCATGTAGATGTGCTGCACAGTTCAAGTTTTATTGAAGCAGACCAGCCATATTCAGGCTTCTTTTTAGAGGCAAAGAAAATTGAAGGAAAGTTATAGGCAGAAAAGGTCGCCTCTATAAGACAAACTGTCCAAGTATTCTCCTTACATAGGTATAGCTACCACAACAACACATCTAAAGAAAACACTTCCTTGAGTATTTAAAACAAATATGAAAAACTTTACTATTTCCAATACTCTTATATTATCACCATAATTCTCAATTCTACTTGAATATAAAAATCAAGTTACACATACATACAAATTCACCAGATCTGATTTTATTCCATCACAAAAAGCAAAACACTAGAAATCCATTAAAAAAGAAAACGTTTTTTACCATGCTTAGCAAAAGGCAACAAGGGTCAGCTCGGCACCCATAGCACACTGATATGAACTGAGGCTGGCGGATTCAAACCCAGCCTGGGCCAGCTAAAAAACAATGACAACTGCAACCAAAAAATAGCCGGGTGTTGTCGGGGGCGCCTATAGTCCCAGCTAGTTGGGAGGCTGAGGCAAGAGAACCGCTTAAGCTCAAGAGTTTGAGATTGCTGTGAGCTGAGATGCCACAGCATTCTACCAAGGGTGATATAGTGAAACTCTCTTTCAAAAAAAAGGGCAAAAAAGGTCAAAAGTTAGCTGTCTACTAAATCCAATTATTTCCAAAACTTTGTTTTACATTCATCAAAAAAACATAAAATAAAATAAATATTTGCTCTAAAATGAGACTTAGATTTTTAAGGTGTGGGTTCCCTTATGTTGATCTTATAGAATATTTACTGCTAAATCATTAACAACTTGATTGAAAAATTGGCAGTTTCCAATTTTTTAAACTTACATATCTATTGATATGCTAGGCTATATAAGAAAAAAGAGAGAGAGAGACAGAAAGACAAAAAGAGTGCAGGGCAGGGGGAGGGAGAGAGAGAGAGACTGCTATCTCTTATAGCTCATTTTATTTTCTTTCCTGGACTAATGTAAATGATAATTTTACCTGCTCTAAACTTGTTAAAGACCTAAAGATACAGCTATTTCAGAAAACCTCCATTCTTTTTGTCACTTTAAACATGTATTTATGTTATTTTTATTACAAGACTCTATTTCAAAATAATTTATTGGGCCTGTACATTAAAGCCAAATCTTAACAATCAACATGGATCTGCTAAAGGAAGAGAAAAGAAGGTGTGCTTTACAGTCTAAACAAATGAAGTGGCATCAAATCATTTCTACTTATCAGAAATTCTTCCCTACATGTGAAATAGTCATTTTAATGGTCCTAGTAAGGGTAGTTAACACTCACCAGTATGAATCTTCTCATGTCTCTGCAGCAGGTACTTCTGTATGAAACGCATGTCACATTGACTACATTGAAATGGTTTTTCGCCTTAAAATAATTTCACATTCATAAATTAGTTACTGGACAAAACAACAGCTTTTAGTTACTGTTTCTGAGGGAAGATAAATCTTAAATGTCCAAATTTTGGAAAATTCCAAAATATCCACAGACTTTTTACATTGTTCATGAACTTAACAGAATTTTATCTCCTCTCAAATTTTCCCCCCAAATTTAAAAATGCATATTCTCACAATTACATAAAAAAAAAAATTATGACTTATATCCTTCATGGAAGTAAAAAAGGAAATAAAACAATTTAAAATAGAATTTAATAACCATGGGGTTAGAAAGAGCTTTAAAGGTTGCATGTATATCTTAAATATCTCTTCTTTTTATCTGGAAGAAGATGCACCCATCCTGTTCACCATGTCTAACCATCCCTTCCTTTATGGTCCTTTACCAATTTTCTTCAGAACATTTAGAACTTTCTAAATATCCTTTTAAAAATAATCCTCTCTCTTCAAACTTCCCCTCTCTGCAGAAGCCTTTCCAGCAAAGTAGTCTTTGGTCTATCCAGAGGTGTCCAACCTTTTTTTTTTTTTTTTTGCTGCTGCTGCATATTGAAAGAATAAGCACTGTCTTGGGCCACACATTCAATACTCAAATACTAAGGAAAGCTGATTACCAACAAAAAAAGGGCCATGGACATTGTTTATGATATTAGACACTGCAGATAAGCAAAAAAATCCTCACAAAATCAACATGTGACTTGCAGGCTGCAAGTTGGACACCACTCTTGTTTCAATCCTACCACAACTAACTGAGTACTGTCACTCCTTTCTTTTCACCCACCTTCTTAAAATAGTCTACATTAAGTCTCAAACTCCTCACCACCCACTTGTAGCTTAACCCTTAAAACAACTGGCGATCTCCTTGCTATCAATTCTAAAGATCTTTTACCTCAGTTTTCTAACTCTAGACTAACGGTTGTGACACCGCTGATCATGCCCTGCTTGGAATTCTTTTGGCCTCTAGGACACTCTATTTTCCGTTATTACTTTTTTACTCCTCCTATTTATCTTACATGTCTACTTTGTTTTACCCAAAGATCTGCAATTAGTCTTTAGTTCTGTTCTCCAAAACTTCATAACCTTAGCTGTCAATTTTTATATTTCATTTCCAAATCCATACTTCAAACTCTGCCTAGATATCCTGCACTAAACAATGAATGTTGATAGGCTTTTAATAATATACTCTTTAATCATTTCTCTAATTTAAAGGAGCACATTAAACCAAATAAGTGTCCAATTAAAACTATTTAGTTAATTTCATACATCTGTACAACTTGTCTTCTCATTTAAAGAATTTTTCCTGATTTCCTTCTGACATTCTGGCTTTGAAATCTCTGATTTGGAATGCCAGGTTAGCTACATTATTAAGAATGAATGACATTTACAAGAAGACAAAAATAACAAAAATAATAATTTTAATGGCTATCAGCCCATTTTATTTCAAGAAATACCTGTATGAATGAAGACATGTCTCTGTAAGTGATAGTTCGTTCTAAAGGCAGCATTGCAGTGCTCACAAACGTGAGATTTAGGGGTTTTCAAACCAAGTGATCCATCCTCATTTATTGTAAGGATCTAGTTTTAAAAAAAGGCAAAAACAAAAGAAATTAAGTTTTTAAAACGTAATTAAATACTAATTTTAAAAAAGAGAATTCAAACAATGGTCACCAAATATGAAATATTTTCTCTTAACTAATTTTGAAAGACTAGTAGAATAATGTTATTATTAACTGCAGGAAAGTACAGTGTGACTCAGAACGGGAAATATCATTAATAAAACCTTAATAAAGCTGGTTAAGTAAGATCTTACCACTTTGCCTTCTCCCCTGTAACGCCAATAATCAATAGAATCCCTAAGTGTTTTCTCTGCTAGGGTGAACACAGGTCTACTTTCAATTTCAAATTCACATGTATACCAGAAAAAAGTCTTATGTCTTAGATATGATCTAAACATCAATCAATATGGAACTGGTTAAATACATCATGGAAAAATAAATACAACTTAATATCATGCGGCTATAAAATAAAATGAGAAAGTGCTCTAGATACTATATAAAAAGAGCACAGGATATGTAAAGTAAAAAAAAGCAAAGTTTAGAACTCAGTGTATAATTTTGCTAACTTTTATATATAAAAGAACAGAGAAATATATATTTGCTTGTATATACATAAAAACTATCTGAGAAGGATATACATAAAATGTATACAATCTTGATTGTGATGGCCGTGGAACTGGGCAGATAAGAGATAAAGGGAGAGGCAGACTTTACACTAACTGTGTACTTAAAACATTTTGTGGGTCTGGGTGCAGTGGCTTATGTCTGTAATCTTGGCACTTTGACAGGCTAAACAGGAGGATCATATAAAGTCAAGAGTTTAAGAACAGTCTGAGCAAGAACGAGTATTAACTGTACAAAAAGCAGAAAATCAGCTGGGCATGGTGGTGGATGCCTGCAATTCCAGCTACTCAGGAGGCAGGGGTGGGAGGATTGCTTGACCCTAAGAGTTTGAGGTTACAGTGAGCTATTATAACACCACTGCACTCTAGCCAGGGTGACAGAATGGGACTGTGTCTCCCCGCTCCACCAAAAAAAAAAAAAAAAAAAAACTGAACCATGAAAGTGCTTAACTACTACTTTAAAAAAAGAACAGAAAACTAAGTTTTCAATAGTAAGGTAGAATTTGGAGTCTGTTTCAGTCCCACATCTCTAAGATTATTCTAGTTATTGAACTGTTAAACATATTCCTAAAAATAGTTGTCTAACAAATAAATGAGAGTGGGTATGGGGAAGGAAGATATAAAGATATAAAGAAATCAACCTTGACTAAGCACCTATAGCACATACAGCATCAGCCATATACACCAAGGCTGGTGGGTTCGAACCCGGCCTGGGCCAGTTATAAAACAAGACAACTGCAACCAAAAATAGCCAGGCATTGTGGAGGGCGCCTGTAGTCTTAAGCCCAAGCATTGGAGGTTGCTGTGAGCTGTGACGCCACAGCACTCTACCAAGGGTGACATAGTGAGATTCTGAGAGCAATGTAGTGAAACTCTGTTTCAAAAAAAATTAAAAGAGATCAACCTTACCTTCTTGGGCTTCTTGAATTTGAGAACATTGTGTGCCTGGTCTGGATGGTATCAGAGACTCACCTTGGACCTCATGTATACCAATTTATCTATAATGTGTTCAATATACAATATTAAACTGCCTCTCATTACACTCTTTTTCATTATTGAGGAGAGCACAAAGATAGCAGAATATGATGTGAAGAAGCAAAAAAAACTATAGGTGTTAAAATCAGGGAGGGCATGGCTAGTGAGAGGTAACCATGCTGGAGACGGGGGCATCTAGAATGGGAGCTAAGAAACTATGTCCAACATAGGGTAGAGAAATCTAGGAAACATCTTGAAAAATTCAAAAGACTCCAGAAACACACAGCTATAATCCCCTATTTAAACCCAGAAAAACAAGGTAGGTAAAGGGAACAGCTTTAATTATTAAAAACATTTTCAACTTTAAATTCAGCCTATACTATATGCAAATCAATGGTAATTATTATGCAAATTATACAGGGCATTTGGGTTTTGGGCAAATTGCCAATATGGTCAACAATACTTCAAAGTCTATGCACCAAAGTCATAGAATGGAAACATTTGGCAGGAGCACGAAAGTGGGTGTCACAGCTTCCTGAAGAGTCAGTGAGAATGTAAAGTTTCATCTCTGGCCAATTTAAAATTTTTTCAACTCCTCCAAGTCACATAATAATATGCACATTAACACTATGCAAAAAGGAAAAACACAAAATATTTTTAAATACAATTCAAATATTTCTAAAATAAAACAAATGACAAAAAGATGTTAAATCCTTTGTATAAAATGGAAGTAAAAACAAGAAAACACCAGGTATTTTTTTCCCCACATACATTGATAACAAGTAAATCCAAGCGCCAAAGAACATAGCCATTCAATAGCTTTCTGTGGCATAGCAACTGCAAGGAAAGGCTTGGCAAAGGAACAAATCTGGCCCAAAGTTGCTTAATGTGAAAAGGATGTAATCCTTGAGTATACAAAGCTCTTTTATGAAGAGTTAAGGAGTTCTAGGTCATTGTTTTCTAGCACTGGAGGTAATGCTGCCTTTCATGTGGAATCTAACCATAATTCAAGGTGAATTTTACAGATGAAAGAACTACCACTGCCTTGTGGATAAATACACCAAAAAAATCTAGCATATTGATAAGTTCAAAGACAAAAACACCTAATTCTTGGACACTTTATACTTCCTTTTCTTAGGCCATCATAACAAACATCTTTATTTAAAGGACACAGAGTAAAATACATCTTGCTTCAGATGAACACCAATGGCCCTTGCAATTTGTAATCTGTTTTAGACATACCCACTTGATTTTCTCTGTTTTATTCACCTCTGTAGTCCTAATGTTCAAAATGGTGCATAGTGGAACTCTGCACCTGACTACTGACAAGGCTGCCTGCCATCTATACCAAACTTCCCTCACAGCTTATCACTTTTATTCTCTTAAAAAATTTTTTTGATAAAAGCAATACTTCTCAATTTTTCAGTCATCAGAACATTGAGTACAATGCCATAGAAAACCTTTGGCAGAATAAAAAAGCATATTAATGCAGGTAAAATATTCTTCCTTGGTATAGACTTGACTTCTTTTCTCATTCACACCCTTTAAAGATCTTTTAGTAGTATATAATCTACCAGTTAAGTTTGTTTGCCTTAGAGATTTAGCAGTCTCACCTCCTACTGGTGTCATAAAATATTTATTTTTGCTTTTATTTTTTCCCTTCAACACAGAAAAACAAACACAAATGAAGAATCTGAAGTAAAAAATCTTAAATTTTAAGATGCTTACTATAGCATCTCCAGATGCTTTATCTTGCTTCCTGTCACTGCTACTTCAGGAGAAATATGGTACACTATGAAGACAAAGCAATCAGGCTTCACCAAGCAGAGAAATAATAGCTTAAACAATATTCAACACATTTGATCTTTGTCTTATCTACTTAATAAATTTAAAACAGATTTTACAGAAAAATTTTTCCTTTTTTTGAGACAAAGTCTTACTTTGTCACCCTCGGTAGAGTGCCATGGCATCATAGCTCACAGCAACCTCAAACTCTTGGGCTTAAGCGATTCTCTTGCCTCGGCCTCCTTAGTAGCTGGAACTATAGGTTCCTGCCACAGTGTCCGGCTATTTTTAGAGACAAGGTCTTGCTCTGGGGTCAGGCTGGTCTGGAACTCAAGAGCTAAGGCAATCCGCCAGGACCTCCCAGAGTGTTGGTATTACAGGTGTGAGCCACTGCGCTCTGACCAGAAAAACTTTTCAATACCCATTAGAATTCCTCAGTTAATCTGCTTTCTCAATGTCATAGTCCACAGTGAATATATTTTTTTGTTTTGAGACAAATCTGTTCCCAGCTAGCTACATAAATATATACACATATACAGTAAAGGTTATCTTAAATTATACACCCATTTTCACCAGGCAAAGCCCTAAGCTCTGCCTATTCAATTCAAAAACTTTTTACTCCTAAAGAATCATTGCCACTGAATAACTAAAACCTTTGTATCTCTCAATAAGAAAAAGTTTTGCTCTCCTAAAGAAGCAGACATGATCTTCCGCACTCTAAGTACTACTTAAGTTATTAAGGCTTCCCCCACCCCCAGAGTTTTACTCTGTTGCCCTGGCCAGAGTGCTGTGCTGTCATAGCTCATAGCAACCTCAAACTCCTGGGTTCAAAGCTATCATCCTCTCATCTCTGCTTCCTGAGTAGCTGGGACTACAGGTACCCACCCCAAAGCCTGGCTATTGAGGCATATTTTAAATTCATGGCAACAGGTTTTATCATGCATTCCTAATAAATCAAAATCAACTTCTAAGCCACCAAAACCCAAATAACAATGCGGTTTCAATTTCTCACCAATTATGAGATGTTTTACTGCAAATGAAGGTGGGAAATGAAAGTTTTTACAATTCTTTTTACTCTCTAAATCCAACCAGACACGGAAGAACACTGCAACTACACCAAAATAGCAAAGCCACCCAAGCATTATGACAATCCTATTTACTACTAATATCTTATCCTTACATTGTCACTTTCTTTCATTCTTCTGGATTTTTTGTCTTTCAGTGCTAGATTTTACTCATTACCAAATTTTATTTTTAAACAGCAAGCTTTTAACAGCACCAGAATGTGAAATTCAGTATGTCACAGCATGGTACAACAACCAATAATCAGTGTAATGACCCTGATTTTTAGTAAAGGTTATTTCTTTCCTATTTCCTGAATAATAGACAAAGAAGTATGTGATAATTTCTTTAAAAAAGATTTGTATCAGGATTTTTTTTTTTTTTACATTATGGTTCAGTTTTGTGACAACATAATTTACCCTAGAACACATAATTCCCTGTGGAAATAAGATAAGTAAAATACAAATATATTATTTTGCTAATTTTCTTCCTTTATTCTCTCATAAGTATTATTCTGTATTTCCTGTTTTCATCCCCAGTATTATATCAGTTGACCTTCAAATCTACTTCTTCC